AAATCTGCATATATTAGTTATGGGACTCCAGAAAATTGAACCTGTGATTGAATATGTACTGCAAGGACCGCAAGGTTACAACCTTTTGAATTCTTTATGACCTGTACAAAGATACAATCATATCAAAAGAATTCCTTTGATCAAGGGGAATGAAACCAGGAAATGAAAAGAAGAACTGGTGCCATCCAGTGAGGGCTTCCCTTAAAAGACAGTGGACGAGATGGCCCACTGATCTACAATATAGAAACTGGATTAGATGAAAACTTGAAGTGTCAAAAGAAGAACAAGAACAATTCAGATAGATTCACACAGTGGACATGAACTCTGCTATTTATTTACTAAAAAATGATTTTCTAAATGTTTCGCTTTTGCTTTAGCAAATTGAATATGTATTATTAGTTATTACTTATCTGGGTTTGGCTTAATTAAGTGTGAATTTGAACTGGGTTTTTGTAAATCAGTAAATCTACATTTGCTCATGCTATGTTCAGTTTCGGTAATGTAATCTCTAATGGCATTTTCTAAATTGAATACGTATAGCTAATGTTCTGGGTTTGGTTTAATTAGGTGTAGATCTACAGTTCCTCTTTTCTTCTTCTTTGTTCAATTTTAGTAAATTTACTTTATCGATAACAGGATATATAGAATCATGATTGCAAACAAGAATTTTCAAATTATGTCAAGATCTTGAGCTGAAAAGAAGAGAGCATTTTTGTGTAATACTTGATATATTAGGCCTTATATATGGAAACTGGAAAGTAATTAAACTCTTTTTTTTTTTTACACCTTTTAGTAACTGTTAGCTGTTGAGGGATTTGAGTCAAATACCATGGCTTCTAAATACGCATTTAGAGCTCAAAAAAAAGAAGAAGAGAGAGAGTAGAGGCATTAATTCGAAGTCAAACTGGAAATATGGATAAGTATTTTAATAACAAGAAAATAAAAGAGAATGAAAGTTTTGAGGAACAACAGAATCATAATGACAATGATAATGCGGATGGACAGAAAGAGAACGAGAAAATGATTCAACCTGCCAATGTGGATGAATCAAGGCAAAATAAAAAAAATTAAAAATTTATGTAAAAAAAAAATCATGTATAATTTTTTTTTTCCTGTATTAGCCTAGCCTGTAATCATGTCATGAATCCGTCCCTGTAAATCAAGAAATTACTTTTATTTGAATTTTGAGGATTCTGAAAATTGGAATGACGTTCACATTGATCAAAAGACAAGAGATCTTTTAGTTGAAATCCGGGATGAAACAAAATCCATTATTTGTGATAAAACCACATATAACTAAACAGGAAGGAGTTAGGATAAAAGAGTTGTGGAGGTAAATTTCAAAAAATTTTAATTGTAAGGGCAAAATCTTGTAAAACCTTAGTTTAAGGTCTTGGGATTGAAATTTAGTGCCCCATATTGAATTCGCCCATGTTACCAATTTTTAGTTTTTATTTTTCTTCTGAATAAAACATTCCAAATAAGTTGGTTATTTATCTACTCCTAAAAATGTTTGAACACACACTGAACTTTGAATAATGTCGCGATTTACTCACTGAACTTCAAATTGCCCCCCATTACTCACTGAACTTTATACATTTGCACTCCATTACACACC